GTTACTTGTATATTCAAAAAGTCGTTACCCAATGTGGTTTACTGGGTTAAGCATTGTGTTCATTTAATTTTTGTCAATTTCGTGTTCGTTAAAGCTCTCCGTTTGCTTTTAACATTTTCATACTTAATTTTTTTCTGACCATGTAATGTGTGCATTTACTAGTTTTTTATGAATAAACAGATTTCTGTTGTAATTTCGCTTAATATTTTTCTTTTTGTATCCCGAATTTAATTTGTTCAAGTTAGTGATTTGAACTCTATTGAGTGGTCGGCATACGTACTTGCTTGTTTAGTCAATTCGTACCTCCCGCAAACCGTATCGTTGTGTACCAAGTATGTATTTATTTAATTTGTTATTTAAACACTGGCGTTCGTTTTAATATTGAATTTTTATTTTCCATGGCTTAATTCGTCTTATTTAAACTAAACGATTTACTCGTTTTTGTTTGAGATTTTGGTCGCAATTTTATTTCATTAGTTACCTATTTATGTAAATATTTATATTGATTAATAAAAGTATTACGGATATGATTTTACGTTCCGTATACAATTTAATGTGACTACACTTTTTTAGATGCCCCTTGGTTCGTGTGATTTTAGATTAGTTTCGGTATAAATGCAATTTAGTTCCCATGCTCGATTTTGAATTTTTTCGTTTCAAAATGTATGTTTTAAGTACTGTATTCCAAAGTATTTAAAAAATTCTTGTATTTTTTTTACTTGGTGTAGTTAAACTTAAAAAACTAAAGCTGTCAATTTTTCAAATATCATGGTATCCTCTATAGAAATACGAAAAAAGAACTTTTTACTATTGTATGTTTTCAACCATGTATAGAAGTAGGATATAATTTTATTTTGACTATCTTACTTGCTTTTTAGAAACTTCAAAAATTGAAATTTTATACTTTTTAAAAAATCTTGTTATTTTTTTATGATATCCAAGAATTGGTATATCCATACATTTATGTCCCAAAACAGGAATTTTTTCAAACACTTGAATTCAGTACTTTAAAACTTACACTTAAAAAAAAAATCCAAATTGGAGCATGGAAACTAAACTGCATTTGTTCCATGAAGTTTATTTTTATCCCCGTTAATTACTAAACAACAATTGTTTGGGTAAAAAAATTATATTGTGGAGAGTAAATTATGTTTTAAATAAAATACTTATGTAAGGTCTACAAGATATTGATGTTTCAAATATGTTATTAAAAGATTGTGTTGAATTGCATGTATTAACTAAAGTTTTATTTAATCCGGCATTAGTTACACTATGATGAGAATAACCGCACTTTTTTTAGGTTTTTATAAAACATTTACATTTTATATTTTTATCATTGACACTCACTATACTTTTTAAAAATGTTATTGATTGTATATTATCGGCTCATATTACATGAGTATCAATGATTGAAATATAAAATTAAATGTTTTATTAAAGATATAAAAAAAAAAGTATGGTCATTTTAACCATAGCGGCACAACTAACGATGGGTTAAGTATTATTTTAAATTATTGATTGTACAAGGTCTGTTCAAAAACTACCAGGATTTTATTTTTAATAATTACAATTATGAAGTTACATATTAATTAAAGATATCGCCTTCAAAATACTCTCCTCCAGACGATATGCAGTGGTTCCAGAGATCTTGCCATTTTTTGAAAGTCCTTTGGAACTGTTCTAAAGTTATAGCTTTGTGTTCTGTTGCCGTATTTGCTTTAATTTTCTCTACGTCTTGAAATCTTTGTCCTTTAAATGCAGATTTTATTCTCAGGAAAAAAAAATCGCATGGAGCTTGATCAGATGAATAGGGAGGGTGCGGGACTACAGGTATTTTTTTTCAGCTAAAAATTCAACAACGTTGGATGTGCTGGCACATTGTCGTGATGAAGAAACCAGGTGCCATTTCACCATTTTTCTGAGCGCTTTTTGAGAATTCTCTCTTAAATGTATTAATACATCTTTATAGAATACCTGATTTGTCCATGGGGCACAAATTCATAATGAACAATACCTTCAAATCAAAAAAAAAAAAACAATCAGCATTGTCTTGACATTTGATCTCACTTGGCGAGCTTTTTTGGTCGAGGGAAACATTTTGTTTTCCACTGAGATGACTTTGTTTCCAGATCGTATCCATAAACCGATGTCTCGTCTCCTGTGATAATGTTTTTTTTATGAAATTTATATCAGCAGATCGTTTTTTAAAGGCTTGATAAATCGTTAATGATTTTTGACATAGCATTCGGACATGACGAAAACGGACATCAAAACAAACTGACTTAATTTAACCATGTATAATACTAAACTGAGATAAGATAGTGACTTCAGGTTTTGTTCAAAATATTTACTAATATGTTGAGAATACATATAATTATAATTTAAAACGATATCATGTATAAATTAGCTGCAATAACATGTGTCCTGTTACTTTTTGAACAGACCTCGTATAACAATATTAAATTACTGATCTGTATTTACTTAATATAGGATTTAGTATAATATTTAATATTGATTATTAATAATGTAACTAACAAATCTTTAATGGTAAAACCTAACAAAGACAAGTATTTTTACTGCAGGAATAAAAATTTTATTATAAACTAAAATTTAAAAAAAAAAGTAGGTATAGTTATAATTTGTAGTATTATTTTAATATTTAATTTTAGATTTTATATTTATATTTCTAATGAAAATTAAGAATATTTAAGTACCATCATAGGTATCATCTTTCATTATTCCCATTATATTATTTAATCGAAGCATAGTAAATTATTGAGTTAATTTGTGTAAAATAAATTAAAATGACTTTGAACAAAAATTCAATACTGAAAACAAAAATACTTGTTCTGAATAATTATTAAGTCTGAATGAAGAATGATTGACTAGTAAAGTAGCCTAAAATATAAAATAAAAGAAAAATTATATATTTATATATAATAAATAAATATAATAAAAATTGATAGATAATGTTAAGGTAAATTTAATAAAATTAGGATTTAATACTAGTATTTATTTTCTTCTTTGCCTTTCTTCTAACTATTTGGGGTCGGCCATCCTTGTTCTAAACCTCCTCTTGTCTTAATTTTCTACATCTTTTATGCATACATCAACAGCCTTATATCATTTTCAATCATATTCAACCATCTCTTTTTTGTTCTTCCTCTTCTTTTTCCAAGATGTAGTATTGGTATCTGTTTTTGAAGCCAGAACGCTTGGTATCCTTCCTTGAACTTATATTTTAATGTTTTATTTATAGTTTCTTCTATCAATTCATCTTCTAATATTGGAGAATTTATCATTTCAGTATTTGAAAATGGATCTAAACCCATTGGGGTATGTCCATTATAAGAATATCTTCAAATCGTTATTATTTGAAATCAAAATGTTTGTCTTATATTTCATTTCTACTTAAGAAGTTTTGTTACAAATGCAGAAATAATATTTTTTGTTTTGATCAAATTAAAATCATCACCTTGAAGCTATATATTTGTTTTTTTAAATTTTTTTAACAGCTCAGTCAAATAAGATGTCACTTCTACAATTAATTAAGTTATCGCTTAAAGTATAATCTGTTGTTTTTAAAAACTCAAACACCTAGTCAAACAACTTATAGAATCTATCCAAACAGGCACCCTTTGACAACCAATAATAGAAAACCTATAATAGAATAGAATTCTTCATAGTTTTCAGTACAAAGTTTTCCAAACAATCTATTATTCAATCAATTATTTTTGATTTTATTTATACCTATAATTACATTATTTAATGACTTATGTAACCACTCACTCAAATTTTTGGCAACTAAATGTTGTCTATGAATGATAAAATGTACAGATAATACGTTTGATACATTTTTTTTTTTTTTTTAATGCGATAAAACCTCGATTTTTGGTCGTGGCTGGAGCACCATAGGTTAAAACTGATAAATTATTACATATAAGAATTTCATTTTCTTTAAAAAACTCTTCCAGTGAGTGAAATATTGATTCTCCTTTAGTATGAGTTTCCAAACTTTTAGCAAAAAATAATTCTTGGCAAATTGTTTTGTCTTTTACAAATCATAACATTTTTTTCTTCGATTCAGCCATAATGAACATGTAAATATAATTATATATAAAAAATACGACACTTACAAAAACAATAACAATGATAACCAACAAGATCAACATCCATGAATATTAACCGCTTAAAAACATCATTATAAGCACTAAGATAAGCATTAAAAAAATTTAAAATTAAGCAAAAATATTTATTTAAAAAAAAAACTATTAAATTTTAACTAAAAAATCAAACAAATTAAAAATAAATCTTTCAATAAAACTTTCATGAGTAAGGATTTTATGGATTTTCTAAGGGATTTTTCTGAAAAATAAAATGTAAACTGTTCTCTCTGTTCTTGATCATTCTGATGTTCTATTTTTAGTGTTGAAATATCTCTATTAACCCTACAACGATGCCTTGGATGGCGACGAACTATGTGACAACGTAGATAATATAAGAACTATTTTTAATTTTAAATCTATCAAAAACGACTTTGCAGGAGAAAACTATAAAAACGTAAAAAAAAAAAATGGTCATACAAGCAAAAATAATTAGAAAAACTGGAAATAAGCATTTTTTTTAAAAATTCTGAAAAAAGCAAAACAAAAAAAGGCATTTTCAAATTTCATAATTGTATGTGTTATAACTTGACATATACTTCTATAGCACTTTGCTACATTTAAAGTAAATCCATAAAATTAAGCAAATGCTTTAACTCCCTAGCCCTAGTAATAACGATTATTCTAAATTTAAAAACATAAAATACATAAGTACAATAGTTTGTACTACAGTCAACATTCTACATATTGTTAAAAAAAATTAAAATAGTCAACGCCCCTATTTGTAATCCAATGCCTCCCAAATGAGCTTGTAACTTCCATTGCCCTCCCCCCCTTGATAGCTCTAGCACCTCCAGAGGGGGGGGGCCATATCGCCCACTTTGGAAAATACTGTTTTATCACATCACAACTTATTGTCATTAGTCTCCTCATACCCTCAACTTGGTGTCTTCCTTCCAAGTCATACTCTATATACTACTCTGTTTTATTTCTACTAATTAATTATTTTCCTTCCAAGGGCTAATTTCCACTTATACAACCTATTATTAACTTCTTCCAGATTTTTCTTACCAAATTTATATTTTATATTTATATCTTTTCCCAAATCTTCATACTATGACTCATCAGCTTTATTCTTCTATAGTTTCCACATTCCTGTATGTCTCCTTTGCTTTTAAATATTGATACAATAAAACTCTTTCTCTGATCTACTGGCATTTTTCCCTCTACTAACACCTTATTAAAAAAAACTTTTAACCATCCAATACTTACATCCCCTAAAATTTTCCTCATTTCTACAGGCACTCCATCGGGTCCTACAATTTTTTTGTTTTTTATCACCTTTACTTCCTCCTCACTAACTAAACCAATCAATCCTTCATTCCATAAAATACTCTAAAGCAGCGGTTCTTAACCTGTGGTCCGCGGCCCTCTAGAGGTTCGCGATACTCATATCGGGAGTCTGCGGCAGCCCTAAAACATAACATATGTACATCAATACATGACATGAGTGCATTATTATAATATTGTTGGATTAATATTATTATTATTATTTTTTTATATATATATTTTATTATATAATAGATTTTATCATTATATGATGTTATAAAACTTGTATATCAACCATCGTATTAAGCTAATAAAAATTATATTTTAAGAATATTAAAAAAATAAATTAAAACTAAAATAATTTAAAAATTTAACTGAAAAATTAAGTGAAATAAGAATAATTATTTATATGTATGTTTTGTTATGTCTATTAGTGTAATTTATTATATAAAATATTTATTATAATTTTGGTTTTAATAACATGAGATGTTTTGTGTAAAAAAAAGTATTAAACAAAAATTAGTAAGGGGGCCCGCAATTTCTAAAAATCTTTCATCAGGGGTCCGTGAACTACAAAAGGTTAAAAACCACTGCTCTAAAGCTTCTTTTGGATTCTCCTCGTTCAGTAATGTCTCTAAATATTCTTTCATCTCTTTCACATCTTCATCATTTGTTTGTTAAGACTCTCTTGTCCTCATTTTCTATACGAAAAATATTTTGAAAGTCCTTGGATTGTTTTTATATAACATTAGACAGTCTATACATTTATTTTTCTCCTTTCCATATTCCTAGTCTCTCATATAATTTAAAATATTTATTAAAGTTTACTTACCATGCTCTTTACTATTTTATATACATTTTTATACTTTATTCAATCTTCCCTCTTCCAGATAATCCTGACGCAACCTCATTTAGTCTTCTTTTACGGCCGACTAAAGAACCGTGGAAGTATTCTGATCCCCCTTCCGCAGGGGGATTATAAAACTTCCAAATATAAGAAATAATTAATATTATAGATTTTATTATTATATTTCATTATGACAAGTTTTTATAATTTTTTTTAAATGTATATCAATTATATGTGAGTAAATGTTATGATATAATAAACATTTTTTTTTTTTTTGACAGTTACACAATTTATTTCAGGTATTTAATTGAGTATTTGTTTACACGAATCTGAACTGACATAATGGAATTAAAAAGGTAGAAAATAGTATAAATTATTTTACATTTGTTCATATTCTGTCTGTCTATCACACTTAACATTTTATTTAACAATTTATTAACATTTAGATGTTTTCTATTTCCAATTAATCAACTAGTTTCTCAAATTTCTAATTTTAATTTTTCAAATACCACTAAAATTAATTTTAATTTAATAATTGTTAACATAAGAATACATTTTAAAAGTGAAAAGTCGCTCTCAAATAGACTTAAAGATAAATTAGATTTAAAAATCCTTATCCCATCAATAAATCAATCAACACAAAATAAAAAATGATACATGTTATACGAGTGATAGACTGACAAAAAGTTACCACGTCTAATCTCTAATTGAGATGATATCTCTAGGTGTATATTTTTTTGTGTATACAATTTTTATATTATTTTTAGGCCTGAATTTCCATTACTTAATGAAACTTTAAGTTATTTGGAAGCTGATGTAGTTGGAACGTTAAAAAATTTAGTCAGGATTAAAAATTATAAATTTTTGATTCACATGAAATTACAAAATTGTGAACGAATAAATAATGATGAAATTAATATGGTTTTATTAAATGAAGAAATTATACCTTTGTAAGTTTTATAATATCATTTGTTTTGGTTTTTGAAAAAAAATTGTGTTCATCAATGTGTTTTTTTTATTTTTATGATAATCAAGAGACAATTTAAATAGTACCTTATAGATTATTTTTAGAAACTTCCCAGTGGTTTTTCATATGTTCAAAACATTACTTTATAAACATTCAGACTTAACTCACACATACCACATTACAACCATACTACAACCATAAAACTGTGAGGTCACTCATGGTTGAAAAGGGCCACTTATGAACCACTTTTTTGTAGTCATATTAGAAGTCCAAACTGATGATGATAGTATCATACTACAACTACAAATATGGTTTACATCCATTTCAATTTTTTAATATTTACAAATTTAATTTTGGAAAGTGGTTGGTGTGTTGTACCATGTGTGCTACGCTCAACCACAGACGACCGCAATTTTGTGGTTGACAAGTTGCAATTGTTGTTGGATATGACGAAAGAAAGTGGTTTGTTGTCTATGTATGATTACATTTATCATATTTTATATGTTATTTAATGTATTGACCAAGAGCGATCAACCACCATTTTGTGATCATAACATGGTTGTAATGTGATTCGTGTGAGTTAAGCCTTAAACTGTTAAATTTTAATAAACTTGGGCTATTTCACCCTATAGATAATAGTGTCTAAAACTTAAAATCTTCTTTGATAATTGCATAAATTAAGTTATGATTAATATTTTTTTGATTCAATATTTTATTTTTAAAATAATCAATTTCTATAATAACTTTAATTCAAAAATATATCAAATACTATCTTTCTTAATTATGTTATTTTAAATATATAAATAAAAAAATAAAAAATAAAAATCAGTATGTGTAAATTGTTCTTATTAATATTTTTTATGTATGGTACCCAATACAGTAGAATCCTTTTTGTCTTTCACTCTGGTTGATTCAACAATATTATCGCTTTGATTACTTCAAAAATGTATTTAGATTTTCCAATTTATAATAGATATATAAAATTAATTTTAGAATTTTATTTGCAAAAAATATCTATAAGTTACTGACTCTAAGTATTTGCTTACTACATTTGTATAATGCTTACATTCAATTATTTAGTATTATATATTTGAATACAATTTTTCTATATATTCTGTATATTTCGATCTTCTCTGGTTTCAACCATTACCCCGGTTCCAAAGTTGACAAATTAGAGAAGTTCTACTGTAACAGTATTTTTTCAATATATTTTATTGAATTAATATTTTAAAGGTGAATACAACATAAGATTTATATTATTATCATCACTTTTATTTTTAATTTATCATTGTTATAAAATGTAACTATTTTATTTCAATTTGTATTCACATTTATTAATATTTCCAATAAAATTTACTTGTAATAAATATAAATACACTTGTTATAATACTTGCATTATGTATACATAATATAAAAATGAGTTAAGAAGGTATTTGTATACATTTTTTTTTTTAAATAAAGGTCTAATGTACAACCTGGTTCACTATTGGGGTGCCTTCACCCTCGAAAAAAAAAATGGATGCGTTGTTATGTTGTATCTCTTTTAAATCGAGAAGCTTATGTTGCACTCTGCGACACTGGTGAAATGACAAAGACTAAAAAACTTAAAGATATTCCCATTAGGTATAAAAGTATACCTGTTATCACATTTGAAGCTGAAGTTCCATGTGTTTGTCCTAATGGAAAATTACGACATTTGATAAAGGTAGATTTAATATAATTATTTAATCCAATTACAACACAAATTTCTAATAACATCTGTGAGTTAAGTGTTTAATTATTTTTTGAATTTAAATTTCAAAATTAAATTTTATTAATTCAAAATAATTAGGAAAGATATTGAGGAATTTTATTTTTATTTTTAGTCTTTCAACACTATCGAGAAAAGTATATAACTTGACAGTTCTATGATTTTATTTGAAAATGTTTTTGAGGCAGTGCCTCATAAGTTTCAATTTATAACTAGTTTTTTATTTGTGAATTATATATATTTTTTATCTTTTTTTTTTTTAAATCGAAATAAATTATTTATTTATTAATGAATACTGATATTGCTTTAATATTCATTTTTAAATTATTAATAGTTTATGTAGACATTTTTTCAAACCAAATTTTATATTAATTAGTACTTCTTTGTAATTTTGTTTTATTCAGATTAGTTTTTTATCTTTATTTTCAAGTTGAAATTCAGTATAGTTAAATAATATAAACTTATGTAAATGTGTTTCAGTAGATATTAATATATATTAAATTAGTAATTAAATTAACATGGCTGAGTACATTAAATAAAATAAGAGAAGACCATGAGTGTTGGAGTATTTTTTGAGTATTTTTCGAAAGTATTTGGGTCTAAAGGCTTTGTCAAACAGAACGCGTTATTAACGTCGCGTGAATTACCTACCGTCGCGTTGTATTTAATTCCAAGTCATATTGGATGTCAAATATATGTTTTGTCGGCGTGATTAATGCGGCGCTAGAATGCGACGTTGTACAAAATCACAAAATCACGCGTGGTATTATTTTTGGCGTTCAGATAATGGCGAAAGAAAGAATACCTACATAAATATGAGTATAAATAAATGTTAATAATAAATAATTCGCTTTCTCTTTTGTTGACTTTCGGTTAATGCGCATAAAAGTTAAAGTAAAATAACCGCACCTCGAAAATGTACGAACAATACGACAAAGCATGATAAAAATAAACAATATCGACTACTAAGAACTTCCATAATACGACGCTTTTTGGTTTCTGTGTGACGTGGGTAACGTCCAAAATAGCGTTAAGAACACGAAGTTACTAACGCGTTTGTTTGACAAGGCCTTAAGAGTAAGGTCACATGAATGTTTTTTTGGTAGACGTGGTTTTTCCAGTCGATCACATCTAGAGACAATATCAGTTTCCATCAAAATGTTTGATGAGACTGTTGGGATTTACGCTTATACTGCCATGAAAGTTTTCCGGGTACTGTTAGTTATATACGAGTTATATACCAGGGGCGGATCCAGAGTCGGGGAACTGTGGGTCAAGCCATTTCAAGAGGCCATTTATTAGGGATGAAACTGAATTAAAAATTAATACCTTGTAAAAAAAAAACAAAAAAAAATAAAATGCTCATAAAAGTGTATAAGTATATTTATATTACATTTTAGAATTAGTGACACTAACGATAATGACTTATTTACGATTAATAAATATAATCTAATTTTATCAGCGCAACAAACGTACGGAATAAAATATGTTTTACTTAACATTCTACTAAAACGATATAATTTAAAATATAAATTATGAATTGAAAAATTTTAAATTTTGAATATGGCATTCATTTTTCAAGTAACTCCAATGGGCCAACTGTCGAAGAGTCCAAATCAAGGTTTAAAAAGAGAAAAAAATTTCCTAGAGGCCAATTTTGTCAACAAATATTAACTGTGGGTTAGCCGACCCCCTGAACCCCCCTAAATCCGCCCCTTTTTGTTTTATTTGGTAGAATTCCACATTCCCTTAAAATTTTGTGTGTGGGCTCCAAACTTAGTTAGGGTCCACAAAATTGTATCGATGATTTAACTTAATTTAACTTCGATGATCTGACTTATATTTAAATCCGTGTTCTTGTAAAATATATCAATAAATAAACTCAATATTTTGTATGTATACGATGCATTTATTATTATTATGCATGGCGGGGAAATGACACACCTGAGTGTCGGGGCTATAACAAACTAGTATCGTCCTCCGCAAAAAAAAAAAAAAAAAAAAAAAAAACAAGGACAAAGAAAATGGCATATGCACTCGTTATTAATTGTGAACGATTATTGTACGGCGACTTTTATACTCTTCATAGGCGTTTGTGAGCGGATAATGTAAATTTTTCAAAACTATAATAGTAGTACATAAAAGTTGTTGAAGATAACATATTTATAATAATAACAAAACTAATAATTCTTTTAAAAATTCATACTTATAATTCTATTAAAATTACATTATATATAGATTTTAATTATTATTTTTTAACTTGCTTTCAGAATTTTGAGGATTATATTGTAACCTTTGAACCATTTATGAACAAACAAAATAATAAAACTCATAAAAAAATGAAACTGACTTATAAAAATTCTCGTATTGATTTAATTATAAAACAATGGGATCTACAAAGTTATATGAACATTGATGACACAAATTATGATTTGTTAATGTTTAAGAATGGTAGTACAGTAACAGTAGGAAAATTAGAAAATTATGATTGGAGGCATATATTTGTTAGGAGTGCTGATCGATTTGTAAATGTTTGTAAAGAATTGCAGATATATTGTAAAAATGGTAATTTTATTTAAAATATAAATCATTTATCAATTTATGTATTATGATAAATATTGATGTTTTATTTTTAAATAGCATTAGGTATTCAAATTGATCCTATTATTGGCGATATTATTGCAGTGAAATGCATAGACAAATATTACAGAGGTAAAATCATAGATGTAATAGATGAAACAAATTGTTATTTATATTTAATAGATACTGGTTATGTGATATCTGCTTCAATTGATTGTATTGTTAATTTATCTGAGACTTTAAAAAAGGTATTGTCTAATTTTCTTTTAATTTGAGCATTTGACTGATTAAAGTGGTATAAAATATGTGCTCTTAGATTCCACCAACTGTATGTTTAGTAGGCTTAAAAGATATTAATTTAAAACCATGGACTCCTGAAACTGTTTCATATATTACTACATTATTTGAAAATTCTACAGCTATGATAATGGTAAGAAATATGAATAGTAGAATATTACCTTATTGCATTATATTAGTTTGAAATGTATTTAATTAATTTCTTAATATCATTATACTCTATATGTAAGTATATGAATTTGTAAACATGAGAGTATGATAGTTATTAAAAGTACAACTATTTGAAACTTAACTCAGTCTTATTAGAAATATCATCATCAATATTATTTGAGATTTTTTTTTTTTTTGGACATTTTGATTTATATTAATAATAAATATTGATCGGTTATTTTTTAGTTAATTACCATTAAACTTTAAAGTACAAGGTGTTGATTATTGAGATGATAATTTTAAAAATAAAAGTTATTCTTTATTTTCTAAAATTATATTATATGAACTCTATAAACAATATTAAATATTAAAAAAAAAAATCAGTTAAATTATCTAGTAATGATTTATTACTTATCAAACAAATATTTTTTAAATATTAATAATGAAAGAGATCAAGGATTCGTAATCTTTTAAGGTATATTCCCAAATTCATACTATTTAATGATGGTAAGTCCCTTCCCACCATAATAAGATAAAATTATATTTGATATATATATATATATATATATATATATATATTATGTCTTTAATGTTGATTATTGGATTAACATGATGATTTAAAATCAATGAAGTTATTTTAAATATTAAATGAGTTTATTTACTAGGAAAAAAACATTTCAATTTAAAATTTTGAAAAAAAATTAATGAGAGGGTTGACACTACTTAGTTTCAATTAATTGTAACTTAATAATGTCTTAATTAAATATTAAAATAACCAAAAATAATGTTTTCTTGTTTCATTGCTTTTTAAAAACAATTTCACGCCTCCCTTTAAATTGTATTATGTCTCCCTAAGGAGACATGCTCTCTTGATTGAGAAATGTCTATATTGACAATAATATTTTAATGAGATGTTAATGTAAAATATTAATTATGAATAAAATATTTAATTGGTTATTAGGAATTAAATTATTATAATTGATTAATAATTATTATTATTCAAATATTATGATATAAGGTACAATTATTTTTATTTTATTTAATAATAATTGTATTATGTTATTTAGGAATATACTGATTTTGATATTTTTGGTTTGGATTCTGTAACATTAACTATAATTAATAACAATCAAGATGTTAATGGACATTTAAATGAACTACTAGTAAGATATAATATAATTCTCATATTAATCAATTAATATTTATTTTAATTAAATTGTATTAACCATGATTATAACTATAGATACTGTTATTATTCAAATTTTAAATATGAATTACAATAAATAATGTAGTGTGTAAATTATAAAATTCATTCAAAATGTTAAGATTACTTATGATTAATATTGATAAGTATTAATAATGTATACAAATTAATAAAAAAATAAGTCACTATTTTAAAAATTTTAATTTTAAATTATTAATTAAACCTTTATGTAGGAATTATGTGTATTATTTGTGTTCAAAGTCATTTTATTTTATTCAGAAAATTAAGTATTCTATGTAATCTAAAAGCTACAACAACTACTCGGTTGTATTTTTGTGGTTTGGTGCAAGAAGAGTCAATGTCATATTTTTATGAAATTGAAATTATATAGTTAACCTTAGTGTAGTTAAACATAATGAGTCTTTAAATAAAAAAATATCTATTTATGAAAATTTAAAAAAAAAATTATGTTAACCTTAAAAATTTACTAATTTAATATTTTTATTCCAGAACATTGTCATAATATAACATTAGCCATTCTTGCACCAAGCCACAGATTTATTTTTAACTATTAAGTACAAATTATTAAATTTAATCATCATCATTTTATTTCTATACAAACAATTATTAATAGACGAGGGTGAATCCAATATAAACGGGACTTTTTTTTTAAATAAATTGTATTTATTAAATTATGAATGAAAAATATAAATTATTAATCTACATAATTTTCTGCTTTAAAAATACATTTTTCCCAGCGCGTAGGAAGGTTTTTTATTCCATCATTGTATAATGAAACTGGTTGAGTCAGGTACTATTTGCGCACATAATCCTTCACACCTTCATCATCTTCAAACCGTTGCCCTCCTAAAGTTTCCTTAAGCGGTCCAAACAAATGAAAATCACAGGATTGTAGGGAGGGTATTCAAGTTGAGTCCATTGCATTTCTTCCAGTTTTGACATTGTTAGAACTTAAGGCTTAAGCCTTTGACAGATCTCCAACGTCTCAATTTTTGATCTTCGTTCAAAAGATGAGGGACCCATCTGGCACAAACTTTAAGGAACTGTAGGTTTTTTGTGAAGATTGATAACTTCCATAGCTAATTCAAACCTGTTCTATAATTTTGGATACTGTTACTTGTCAATTGTTTTCAAGAATGTCTCAAACTGCGCAGCACATGTTCTCATCTGTGATGCTAGTCCGAGGACAGTGATCGTGTTCATAATTTTTCACTCATTCTTGTCCTCCTTTGAACTTCTTATACCAAGCAAACTCATGAGTTCTTGACAATGTATGATCCCCGAACGATGCAACAATCTCCAAAAAAATGCGTTGCTTTAAATCCTTTATGATTGAGAAATTTTATAATAATGTGTTGTGCAGTAGAAGAGTGCACTTGCTACTCTGACATCACGACATCTACTGCAAATTAGTCGGAAGTATGAAACGACCGGCTCTTCCTGCCCATTCCTATCATTAGTTGACATTCATTAAAAATAATCCCGTTTATATTTGATTTACCCTCATAAAACATGTAATCTCAAAATTTACTACATTTTTAACTTCTATTTTTATTTATTTTTAATTAGGAATTTGTGGAAGATTCCCAAAAAGATAACAAACATGCCAGTTTAAATTTTTGTTATGATAGCATGTATAAAAGTTTACAAACCACAAGAATTATTCCTATCAAAATGGATAACTTTGTTAGATCAGGTTATTTTACTTATTATACTTCAATGAAAAAAAAATGTTATTTAAAATAAATCTCATTAATAGGGATTAGTAAGGATATTTATTTAGGTACGTCATTTTATTGTGGCTAGATGAATTTATTTAAGTAAGAGATAAATTTATCTAATTATGTATAAAAAAAATGAGTCTTGCTTGATTTTAAATATTTAACAATAGTTACCATTTTTCTTAACATATGTAAAATTTAGATTCTCTAGATATGTCAGAAAACATAGAAAATTTGCCAAGTTCTGGCAGTTTAGTTTTTATGACTGGTTTTGTGTCTTTGAATGAAATATATATTAGGCGCTCAGAAGATTATAATGATGAATTTGACAAATTTATAAATACCGTGAATAACTTATGTTCATCAGGTAAGCTACATGTGTTTAATTTTTTTAGATTTAATCATAATCAAAAATAAATATTTAAATTCTAGTTCCACCCATTAATAGACCTTTGGTGATTGGTGAGATTATTGGAGCTCTATCTCCATTAGATAACACTATTTATAGAGGCAAAGTTTTAAAAGAAGTAAATCACAATACTTATTTAATCCAGTACATTGATTTTGGTGACAAGGATAATGTATCATTGTCAAATATATTTCAAATTCCCAAAGATTTGACGGTAGTACATAGATTTACAATAGTTTAAGCCCTTCATACATTTTTTCATTCATGCCAATACTTAATTAAACTTCTTATAATTTAACCTTAGATTCCTGCATCAAAAGTGATGAAAATTACTCTCAAAGGTGTAAAACCAAATCAGATGAATATTGATACTTCAAATTATATTAGTAATCTAATGTCAGACTATGTGCCAATGACAATTGTAAGTAATTAAATAAATATACATTTAGATGTTATATATTTAATATTGATACAATTAATATAACAATTTTTTAACTTTTATTAAAGTTCTAACAATATTATTTGAAGATTTAATTATTTTGAATAGTTTTAATCCAAAACTAAAACATAAGTTGGATTTCTTAGGGTGCTGAAATATAAAAACATAGTGCTGGATTATCAAGACTATTGTATATAAATTTTATAAATGTTAAACATTTTAATTTTATTGTTATCTAATTTAGGAATTATCTTCAAAACAGTCTCTTAATGATGTTATTCTAACTACTGTTTGTAATAATGAGAATGTGAATCAACGAGTTAATGAATTGTTAAATAATAGTTGTTCATTTCCTATAGAAGTAATAAATCAATCTGCACCAGGTAAACTATATAATATCATATGTGTAGCAATAATTTAATTATATATGTTAAAAAGTAAAATAAATAATTGTATTTAAGCCATGGATTCTTAACCTTTTTTGGACCATGGACCCCTTTAGAGCATAAAATATAATAACGGACCCTATTCTTAAAAAATATATATATAAATAAATACAACTTTATTTTAGTTATTTTTTAATGATAAATCTAAGACTTAATACTATATTAAATTATTGTGAATAATCACTTTCTTTTATTTAAAACTAAGTTTTAATGTGACATTTGTTGTTGTTTTGATTACAATATTGCCTTGAAATCTGGGACCGTATCGGACAGAGCAATGCGCATATCGTCCTTAATGTCCATTCGATTTCTTGCTATAGTTTTTAATTGTGACCATTGTAGAAAATTCAGACTCGTAGAGATAGGTATTAGCAAATGGAATCAAACATCATAGCCACCCCGTGGACCCCCAAGTGACCATCTATGAACCCCCGGTTAAGAACCTATGATTTAAGCGTTATCTAAAATAATAATGTTTTAATTTACTTATAATGTTTAATATTTATAAATATTTTAACAATATTATAGTAATACACTACGAATTTGTCATTGTTGTTATACAAGCAATAAAAAGTTCCCTAGCTGAATTAGTCATCTGAGAGTTAATGATAAATATTTATTATTTAATTACCCTATTGAATTAATAATTTTATTATATATATATATATATATATATATATTAGAGAATATCCAAAATATTTAATTCTACTGTATTATGCCTAATAAAACAGTTGTTGAAACTGGAAATAAATTTGAGTACTTAGGTTTGTTTTTCTGTTGATGCGAGCAGAGTATTCAAAAAGCAAATATTATACTTCTATTCTTATCCAATAACAAAATTAAAAAGAGTTGAAAATTCTGGATTGAACAGAAAATAAAAGGTTTTCAAAGGAAGGGAAAGTATTGAGTAAAGTTAGATTAAAAAAAACAAAATTAGATTAGATTCCTTAACATAAATAAGAATTTCTTTGTTTTCCAATTTAATTAAAAATTAAACTATTTTGGATAATTATAATTATTATTCCGATTAAGTTAGTTTCTAAAGATATTTGAATGTATGATGAATTTCTTGTTTAGTATTGAAAAAATATTGACTTTAACTTGGTATATTGCATGTAAAATCATTATAATCATTAATAATCCAATTATTATTAATGCATAATGCTAATTTTTAGAATTTCTAATCTGTTTTAGAAAATAATGAAGGTGTACCTAAATTAAAAAAATGGAGATTTAGTTTTTATAGAATTATTTATTGATGTGCACAATATCTTTGTTCGTAAAGTTGAAGATAAAACTGATGAATTTTTAAATTTTATTGAACATGTACATTCATATTGTTCAGCAGGTATATATTAAATGAAAAATATTTTTTTATTAGAAGATTCATTGTAATTTCAATTCTTATAATGAAAATTGATTTTTTGTACAATTGTATTTTTTTTTTAAGAGGCTCCTATTGGAAAATTTCCTAAAGTAGATGATATTATTGGGGCAAAATCTATAACTGATGGATTTTTCTATAGAGCAAAAGTTCTAAAAAAAGTAAATGATGCTAGTTATAATGTCCAATTCATTGATTATGGGATTAAAGAAAATGTTAGTTTGTCTGATATTGTTTCCCTTTCAACTGAAATAAAACAGGTTTGTAAACATGTTTTAATTGAATAAACTGGAATAATTGTTTTTTTTTTTTTTTTTTTTGATAAAATGTATTCTTAAATCTTATTACAATTTTAATAGTGATATTTTTATTACCAAAGTGTAATTGTTTGGTTTTACAATTTAATTCATAATATACAGATAATTTCTATATTATTTTATATGGCGATACTTAAATGGATTATAGAAAGTTAAAGTAGAGGATCTTTTTTTCTACATTTTACCAGTAACTTAATTAAAAAATAGCAAGGCTTATAGAAGGGGCGAATGATAAGTAATGCACAATCGCTGATAACTCATATTTCTAATAAGTTAGACTTCAAAAGGTGTCAAAATATAGTTATTATTGTTTATATTTGGTAAATCGTGCTTGAACATCATTAAATTTGTTTTTAATAAGTATGTGTCAGAATGGAGATTAAGTACCGATGTAATATCAATGAGGTTAAAACTACTAACTGTGAAAAAATTTAAAAAAATTTTAAAATCAAGTTTATCTAACAAATTACTTGAAAAAAAGACCAAGTGTAAATTCTGCTCAATATATTGAGACACTAAAAAATTAAGAAGGGGGGTGTGTCGCGTTCGTGGATTTACTGAGACTATTTTGTTGCCACACGATAACGCCAGACCTCATACATCAAATGCAACCAGCACCACTTTTTAACAATTGAACTTCAAAGTCATTCAACATTACTATTGCCAAATTTGGCACATTGTGACTTCCACTTCTTCCCAGATTTCAAAGGTACTTATTTCAAGTTAAACAAAAATGTCAAGGAAGCAGTGAAGTCTTGGATAAAAGAGACGATATTTCAATGATGGTATGAAGAAACTTGTGGTTTACTTGGAGAAATTTATATCTCTAAATGGTGATTATATTGATAAATAAAAATGTTAATTTGTAGCTAAAAAAGTATACTTTCATACTTTTTTTTAAATTTAAATTATTTTTCTCCATTCTTGAAAAATTCACGATTGTGCATTATTTATCATTTGTCCCTCGTATATATTATGGAATCAATTAATTTAATAATACTAATTTCAATAATTATGTTTATTATTATTATTATTATTTTTTTTTTTTTTTTTTATTATTGCTTTATGTGGTTATATTGAAATAAAATATTAAAAGTTAATCTTCATAAAAAAAAAAAAAAATTATATAATTTTACTATTATGAAGAAGCAAAATGTGTTCAAACGATTGGATTCTCTGACGTCTAATGATATATTTAATTGGAATAATTTCTGTTTCCTCTATCAGTTCTTTGTTAAATTATTTCCTCCGCATACCAGTATTTATTATATTTAATTTGAGTTCACATATCATCCATCATTTTTATTTTCAGAAGTGGTAAGTTATCATTCTATTAGGCTTGTATTCTTAATGCTTTGCATCCGTATGTAAATGTAGCTCTTGCTATCACTATAAAGTCAAACTTTTGTTTTTTTGACAAAGTTTTTGATTTGAAATATATTTACACTGCAAAGGATACCCTTTCTGATCTTACTATCCTTATTCTAATTTCTTATGACCAGTAATTTTTTGTATTTATACATATACTCCAAGGTATTTAAACTCATTAAAATAGTGATTTGGACACATTATTATGTATGGAAACATAAAACAGTTACGTCTTAGAAACCAACGGAGAAGAGACCACGTAGATGTCCAAGGAAAAGATGTATGGACATATTTTAGGAAGATTTAAAAATAATTGGAGTAAACAATTGGAGAATTATGGTCCATGATTGAGAAAAGTGGTGTGTAATTGTGATGGTGGCAAAACCTCATGTAGAGTAGATAAAAAATAGGAGATTATTAAGAAACACAAAAGATAGTTAATTTATGAAAGAAATTATAAGATAACTTAAAAGTTATAACTAGTATATTATTATTTGGTTATCAATTTATCGTGTACATATTCTTCTACCATATATTTAAAATAAATTAATGTATTAACTTTCAAATTATATCAGGTAATTCCTACTGTTATTTTGGTGAAACTAAAAGGTGTTCCCTTCCATGTCTTAAATGAAGTTGCTCGAGAATATGTTAGTTATATTAGTGAGAAAGAATATTTAAAAATAGTAAGTTATTTCATGATGTTTATTATTGTTTATTAATTCTTTTAAAATGGTTATTATACTCAGGATGTTATTGAAAATAACACAAATGAAGTAATATTGAAAACTGAGGAAAATGAAAATGTAAATGATCATTTAAATATGTTTGAAAGTAATTGTATTGCAGAAAAAAGTAAAATTAGTGATTTTAAAGAAGTAGAAAAAGATTTGAAAATGTGTAAATAATATTGTATTTAATTTTGATTTTAAAATAATAAAATAACCTATGTTAATTAATAAGTTATATTAATTTTAGATTCCTCAATTGAATCTTCTCTATCATTTCATAGATCCTCTTTAGAACCAGGTGATATTGTTTATATGACAGCTTTTGTTGATCTCAATGAAATGTATATTAGAAAATTGGAAGATTATAATGACGATTATCATAATTTTTTAGATGAGGTTGATAAATATTGTCTATTAGGTAAACACAATTATTGGATTACTAAAAACTGTTTAAATTAATATATTAATTACTTTGATTTTAGCTACACCCATTAATAGACCTTTGAAAATAGGGGAAATTATTGGAGCTCAATCCACATTAGATAATAGTTTTTACAGAGGTCAAGTTTTAAAAAAAAATGATGATGCTACTTATTTAATCCAGTATATTGATTTTGGTGACAAGGATAATGTACCTTTGTCAAATATATTTGTAATTCCCCCTCAATTTATGGTAATATTAATGGTTAAAGTAAATTGTTTTTATTGTAACCCTTTACATTTTACATATATTTTTCTTAGATTCCTACAACTGTAATAAAAATTAATCTTAAAGGAATTAAGTCTAATGTATTAAACATTGAAGCTTCAAACTATATTACCACTTTGTTATCAACATATGAGCCAATGACAGTTGTAAGTTTAATGTAATTGTATACATATCTATTTAGAACAATATAATTGACTGAATAAATCTATATATAGTTAGACATTTTTCATGTCCCTTTTTATTTCTAGTTTAGGCGAGAAAAAAATAATTTATATTTGAATTTTTTTTTTTTAGGACTTCAATCCTGAACTTCCTCTCAAAGATGTTACTTTAATAGTTATTAAAAGTAATGAAAATGTTATTGAAATTTTAAATAAACTTCTTCAGGATGTGAATAATACTGAATGTAATAGTATACAATGTGTGGATAATGCTGCAGTTAATGGTATAATAATTTTTGTTTATTATTTAATCATTCTGTTTTATAATAATTGTAACCTAGTCTATCTAAAATGTTATTGATATAAGGATTTTTTATCGGTAACTCTTAAATAATTATTGTTAATTTAAGTTTATTTTTATTACAATAGTCAAATAGTGAAATCGGTTGTTTGCAATATAATACTGTATTTTTAGTGTTGTAAAATAAATCCGGATTGTCCAAAAATCCAAAAAAATCATGATTTTGGATTTTAAGCTACAAAAATCAAATTTTATAGTTTTGAACTTCAAAATAAAAATTTCGGGTTTTAAAATTATAATCAGTGTATTACATTTTTTGTATAAAACCTAAATTGTCTAGTAAATACCAGTTAATTATTCTAATTATAATCAATATATTTATATATAAAGCTATACTAATTTTAAAATTTATCATCAATATTTAAATAATTATATAAAGTTAATAAAATATACTATATATTATGTAATTAAGATATTTATTGTTAATTTGTTAGTTTAGAATTTTTGGATTTTCCCATTACTACAAATATATTCTATATTAAATACAATCATTCTATCCAAAATTTCAAGTTTGCATTTTTATATATATAATTTATTATTCAGTTATATTTTCAAGTATATAATTTTTATTTTTTTGTGAAGCATTGAAAAATAAGTGGCTTTGCAGAAGGATGGTAGCTTTAATAAGTTTAAGAATCTCTGTCCTTACACTGGGTATTTCTGTTCCTTCTAGATTAAATAATATTACCTAAATAATAATGTTAGTAAAAGTGATACACAGAAAGTATTAAATTCTTAATTTCAACTTAATAGTAGTGATAAAATTCCTGTAATTTTTTTATATCAGTGTATAATTCAACTATGTTTGAAGTGAGTTAAAATAGGCATTATTTTAAGAAAATTAATTAGATAATATAGGATTTTATTATAATTTTTTATTTTTAATTAAAACTATTAATCAAATAATATGATGAATGTTTAAATAAATTTATTTTGATTATAATAGCTAGTTATATTATTAACTTATTAAATTAAATTAATTTCTTCATGGTTTTAATGCTCATATTGAAGAAATGGTACCTAATTGCTCTTATTGTATTACAATTTATTTTTAATAATTTATTATAATGAATAGATAATCATTTTGTTTTTCAAATCTGTCTCAAGATATTTTAAGAGATAATGTTCATTATGAAGCCAATTTACTAGAAGATGGAGATTTAGTGTATATTACAGCATATGTTGATTTGTATAATATCTTTGTTCGCAAAGTTAATGATAATAATGAAGAACTCCAAAAGCTTCTTGAAAGAGTCAATACATTTTGTTCTTTAGGTTAGTACTTTTATTAATTAAATAATTTTCAGATACTTATTCTATTTTCACGTATTTAATAGGAAACACTTCAGAAAGTAAACCTTTAGAATTAGATCAAATCATTGGTGCCAAATGTTCAATTGATGGATTTTTTTATCGAGCAAGAATTATTAAAAAAACTGATGAAAAAAATTATGATTTAACTTTTATTGACTTTGGCTTTGAAGAAAATGTTAATGTTGCTGATATTGTTCCTCTACCTATACAATTACAACAGGTGGAATTTAATTTAAAAATGTTTCAATTTTATCATATCTTAAAAAATATAAGCTCCAATATTTGATATTTCTATTTTCTCTTCTTATGTTAACATATTTAGTTATTGATAACTCTGGAAATTATTTTCTATGAAAATAATTTATAAATATAATGAGTATATTATGTATTTATATTTATAGGAACTAATGATTTAGAAAAATAGTTTAAAATAAAAAAAAGATAGTGTCTTCTTTCTTAGTATATTATATTATGAAAGATTGGTACTCAATTAATAATGAATAAAAATTTATATTTAAAAATTAATGAAATATTTTGTATTATTATTAATTATTGTTTTTTAAATTTAAACTTTTAAAACTTAAAAAATATTATTTGGTAAAAATTTGAAATCCTGTTTAACCATATATTATAAATATATAATCTAGTTAGTAGATAATAGTTATTTTAATGTACTTATAACTTGTTAATAGGTGAAATCAAGTATCCATTTAGTTGGGCTCAAAGGTTCAATTTTTAAAAACTTAAATATGGAAGGTCACAAATATTTAGAAAGTTTAATGATACTGAGTGAAGTAATGAAAATTGTAAGTCTTGCACCAAATAATAATTTTATGTATCTATATTTCATTGTTGTAAGTAGTTTCATAATAATAATATAAGAATTAATCTGATGATTAAATTAATTATTATGATTCACATAAATTTTAAATATTGTTAATTTTCCTATAGTTGTTAGTTAATATAGATGTACAATATAGAGAAAAAATTAAAAAAAAAAAAAAACTAAACCATTAAACAAATTATTAAACTTAAATCTGTATACAGTGATAAAATATTTTACTATATTAGGGAAGTAGACTATACTATTTATAATTTAAACAATAATAATTTATAGTTTGTATATTATTATATTTGCAATATAATTGTTTTTTTTTTTTTTTTTATTACTTGGAGTTTCATGTCATATGTAGTTGTCAGTAAAGTTAAATGTGTAAAATAGTATTTTAATTTTCAATTTTAATAACCGAAAAAACTAAAACCATTTATGTTAAAATATTGGTTTCGGTTTTTTCTTTAACGATTTTATGGGTTTATGTTAAGGTTTCGATTCCAATACTTTGAAACGGTTTCAGTCCAAAAGTAGTCTTTTCGTGGTTGGATTCTAGTCTAGCATATTACCTTTATGATATCTTATATTATTATGATTTATAAAATTTATTTCCTATGAGTAGTGTTATAATATGTTTTATTGAATATACATAATTTCCTGGAAAAAAAATATAAAACAAAAAATATTTCTTATTTATAAGTATCACTATTTCACTAAAATTTTCATAGGGGTTCCGCGTAAAAAAATAATAAATAAAAAAAACAACTTATGGTGTTTCGTGTTTCTAAAAAAGTTTAAGAAACACTACTGTAAGGTGTAGTAGTGTAGGTTAACCCCCTCTAATCATATACATAACTTCAGTTGCGCTACTCTTTTAGTTACTAATAATCAGAGACAGGTGATAATTCGAATATTTAGTTATGTCACATGGCACACCATGCACCTTATATTAATTTATACTATTAATATTGAAACTTTACTCAAAAAGTATTTTTAAATTATTAGGAATTTAAAGATTTAAATGCTGTGTCACTAACTGTAATCAATCAAGAACAAAATGTCATGGATTATTTAAATAAATTATACTTGGATTCCATTGAAAAGAGTAATACTATTATGAACAATTCAGTAGAACCTTCTTCAGGTAAAATCAAATAAAAATATTAATATTAATAAGTTAATAAATATAATTAATAAGCTTATGCTTTTAAATATTAATTAAAATTTAGAAATGAAGTGCATTCCTCATGAAATCAGTATTCCACAAATACCACCATTGACTAACAAAAGCATTGTTACTATACATACGTTTGTTAGTTTGAAAAGTATTTATATCATGGTGCCTTTTGATAAATCAAATTTCAATAAATTTTTAAAAGATTTTTCTGAATTTTGTTCAACTTGTAAGTATTTTTAATATGTATTTTTAATGTGGTTGAGTAATAATTTATAGAAGTACATTGATAATTTTTTATTATGTTTATTTAGCACCACCAATTACTAGAAATCCAACTGTAGGAGACATATTTGGTATTCGGTCATCTATTGACGGATCATTTAACAGAGGCGCAGTTTTAAAAAAGTTAAATGAAAATCAATTTAAGGTTATTTATTTTGATTTAGGCATCGAAGATAATGTATCTGTTAATAGTTTTGTAGAAATTCCAGAATCGTTGAAACAGGTATATAATTCATTTTTTATTTATTATTTAAACTAATTAGTGTTCAGTAGAATTTTGCATTGGGTTTTAATAATTTATAGTTTTATGCCTTATGGCTTCTACGTTATCAAATTATTTGCAACAATTTTAAATACTGACATGATGTTCAGAATATTATTAATTGTAATTTGATTAAATATGTAATTCACATGCTATTTTTTTTATATTTATCCCTATAATCAAAAACAAGTTATGTCCTATAAAATTTTTAAATAATTAGTTCTTAATTAAAATAAATGTATAAATTGTATTCCTATATGCCGGAGGTTTGTGGGTTTCCAATTACTTGTAACCTGACCTTTTTGTTCATTAAAATTATGTGTCTGATATCGGAATGTAGATAAGAATTGTTCCAAGAACAAAATATTACTGGCCCAACAAACTTATCTACTGATAGTCTGACTGATCAAGATGATGCTATTGATATTCCAATTGAATTTTTGAAATCCATCAGGACTTCCTCCACATAAACTTGAAAATTAGAGATCCCATAATACTTATGTTGAATTTTACAGATAGTAAATAAGATTACGGATAGTAACTATGCAGAGGAACATGATTGAAGCTAAAATTCATTCCAGCTCTGTCCAATGTTAGATTGTTTTTATTCCCAGGATATCAATGATTACTAATAAATACCTAATTAACTTTAAACAAGTCCAATATCCTATAAAGCTTTGTTTTGCTACGGCTTTTTTAAAGGTGCAGGGACAGGTTAACACTGAAAATTACACCCCTTAACATCACAAATTCCTGTTTTATTTGGGAACAATTTTATGTATGTTGTTTGCTTTCGTGTTAATTTGGTGAAAACCTATTTTTGTATGCTCCCACCAAAGAATAAAAAATTTATTATTATAACCTTAATAGAAATATTTACAGTGATAATATTTAATTAAAGAGGTATAATAAGAAATTAAAGAAAATAGTAATTTTTACAATCCTTATCTATTTTATAAAATTGTGGAATATCTCTTGAGAATTCAACTAGTATCTACATAAATATATATAACACATTCTTTTTTTCTTGTATATTTTTATGTATAACAAATATATTTATTTTTTCATGGTGAATTTTTATATTTTGATAAATATATTATCCTATTATATGTTACAATAATTATACGTTTATTATTTAGATTGCTATTTTAAATACATAGATGAATAATATATAAATACATACATATCAAATTAAAATCTTAACTAAATATTTGACATAAATTGAATTAATAACAAAATAATAAAAAATAAAATAAAAATTATAAACTATTATAAAAAGTTTTATAAGTTGAAAGTTCTCTTATGCGTCCTTTGTGTACTTAATACAAAAATAAATTGCGATTTATTACATATAAAAATAAAAAATCTGTTTGTAGCGTGGTGTACTGTACTATAAGTGTTGCTATAATTATTTGTAGCATGTAGATTTAATAATTGAAATAACTTCATAATTGTATATTATTGATTATAGTAAATAATATATTCTAAAATAAATGCTGTATAGTGAGTTATTACAGAAATATATTTTTCTTATTCAATATTAAAACAATTTTTTTTTTTTGTCAGTATAATTGTTGAAAACAATATTTAAGTGCATGTAAGTCATTACGTGTTATAATTTTTATTTTTTGAATCATTATAGTAACTAGAAATAATAATTAATTTGGTTTGTCAGGCATATTCAATGCATAATCAGGTCTTTATTGAAAGTACCAATATTATATTTAAATAATAACATTATTAAATTAAAAGTGTTTTTAAGAGTCCATAATTTATTTTTATTTTGTTATGGTTCCATTAGTGTAATTAATGTTTTTACTATTCATATTTGGATTAAATGGCACCAACTTTTTTTTTTTTTTTTTTTTAAGTTAAATAATTGTAATAAATTTAAATTTATATATGATATAAATTTGTTTCCACATCTTGTGATATAGAAATAAATTATTTTGTTTATTTATTTTATAAAATATGTATTTATCAACTAATTGTATACACTGTTTTTTTAGTAGTTAAGTATATATTTTTATTCTAGGTTCCAAGAACCATATACTCAGTTGGTCTTAAAGATATCCACTCTCAAAATCTTAATGCCCAAGCAATGTCTTATGTGAATATGCTTTGTGACAATATGCCTTTAAGTATTGTATGTATCGTCTTATGATTTATTTTTGGTTTTAAATTTTGTATATTATGTAATAGGAATTTGATGAAAACTGTCCTAATGGATTTAATGCTGTAACATTAACAACTGTTGAAACCCAACAAAATATTAATTATCATCTAGCAAAGCTTTTAACTGAAAAAGAAAGAGGTTAGATTTTTAAAACAAAACCATGATTTATTTAAATATTTTACATAATTTACAAATAGAGTGATATTACAAATTGTATGTACCATAGTAATCAATTTATTATTAACTCACATTAGTCACACTATGGTCAGAATGTCCTCTTTTTTTTTTTAGGTTTTTAATTAAACGTTTATGTTTTATTTTTCAATCATGAACACTAAGTTTTATGTATTTTAAAAATATTATTTATTGTATATTATTGACTAATATGATTATCAATGATTGAAATATAAAATTTAAATGTTTTATTAAAAATATAAAAAAAAAAAGAAATATGGCCATTTTATACATAGCACAACTAATGATGGGTTAAGTAGATATGTAAGTCCTTAGGGCAATTATATGTTTACTTACTGAACTTCATTGTTTGTATCATATTTGAATGTAAACTATACTTTACATTGATTGTTATTAGATTCACCTGAAATGGTACATATGTTGAGTAAAGGGGATATTGTTTACATTTCAACATTCGAAGACTTACAAACCATTTACATTAGACGTATCAATAACGGTACGGATAAATTTAAATCATTCTTGGAAAAATTTTCGTCTTCTTGTGAATTAGGTAAATATAAATATTTCCTAGATTTTTACCTTTTTAATTATTTATTGGGGTATTATTTTATTTATAGACTTTTTACTGAATTTTTGTATTAATTTGTAAAGTATTTATTTAATTTGTTTTTCAACCATAATATAACTGGTAATTAAAATGTGTTTATGCGGTTATGTATAAAAATGTATCTGCTATTAATTTTAAACTAAATAGCATTACATTTAATAAAAATGCTAAATGATTAAAATAAATTCTGTGCACATATTGATTATACTTCAAACAACCATGTATTATTAACCAACGTGTCTATGGATGTAGCTTATTTTTATATGGCTGTCTGGAGCATAATGAATGTGACTTCACTAATTATTTAATCGCTAATAAATATACTTTTCAACACGAAAAACTGCAAAAACTAATTTTTAATAAATATTTATATAACTTTTTTGGATGGTTTATGTGCTTCAATGCACCATAGCACGAGCCACCACTAATTAGTTAAATCTTTTGGTTCGACAGTCAATTTATTTAGTTTTAACTATATTTGGTTCAATGAGGTTGGAATGTAATTATGTATAAACTGAAACTCTTTCGCACCCTTTCGTAAACACCTCTATACCTAACAATTTTCCGATAAATTTATTTTATTATATATTAATTGAAATCCTACTATTTTATTGAATGTAGTAGATATAGAATTATAAAAAAATTTAAAATTTATAGAAAATCCCATGGAAAAAGATCCTGAAGTCGGAGAAATTATTGCGGCAAAAGGAAAGAGTGGAAATAAATTTTACAGAGCTGAGGTTATTTCTAAAATGGATGATGAACATTTTAATGTCTGTTTTATTGATTTTGGATCTTGGGAAACCGTACACAGAAGTAATATTGTACAACCTTCAGAATTACAAGTAAAAATATTTTTTATTTTTCAATTAATTCAAAAGTGTACCAAATAAAAATTATTACGTCATTATATTATTCTATTTCACAGCTACAATATTGCTCCCCTACATTTATGGTTGGGTTATTTGGACTTGGTTCTGAGCCTATTAAAGATACAATTATGCAATATATCAAAAAAATTATTCAAACAGAAACCTTTATAATTGTACGTATTTTTATAATTACAACTTAGTTTTTCATAATAACTGAAATAAAGTTTTTAGGATTCAATTACTGAACAAAATAAAGTTGTATTAATATCAGTTAATACTCAATATAATATAAATAAAGAAATTGAAAGAATAATATATAACGGTGGTAATGAATTAAAAATGCAAAGTGATATGTATGCTTGCAATGATGGTAAGATTTTTCTTCATAGATTACTTTCATAATATTTCATAGGATCTATATACCATATATGTACTATTAATTGTTAAATGATTATTATATATATATATAATTAAATATTACTATTAATTTATATATACAAATAAATATGTATTCTTAACAGATGCAAATACAGAAAAATCTATTCTGAAATATTACATACCACCATTAGAAGTTCCCATACAGGTTTGTAATTTTGTTATTATTTGTATTTGAGGAATATTAATATTGTATTCATTAATAACTTTTAAGGTTTGGATAGCTGAAAAAATATCCTCTTCAAAATATTCAGTACACACATATAATAGTCGTATTGAATTTATGCAATTAGAAAAGCAAATGTTTGAAGATAGTAAACAATTTGTATCCATTAAATGCATTGAAATTAATAAGCCGTGTATTGTATACTTTAGCCCTAGTTGGTAAGATAATAAAAAAAAATAACAGTAGTATAGTCAACTCATCAAAACCCTACTATATAGGTATCGAGGAGAAATATTAGAAGTAATAGATAGAGTTACTGCAAAAATTGGTCTTGTAGATGTTGGAAACTTCAGTGTTACTCGCAACATCAAAGAAATATTCCACATGCCATCAAAATACAAAGGAAAGACTTTGGTAAATATTCACTTAGGTGGTTGGGTTCATATTTATATTTAAAATTGATCAAAATTAGTTCTTAGTATTTTTTATTAATATGACATTTTATTCTTATCAGTGAAAATTATATTTTTAATTAGTATTTCGTGAAATAAATATATAAATATCAATTCTAGAATAATACACTCAAAAAAAAATTTGGTAAAATGTTGGTGTTCATTAAGTAATAATCATTAAAGTTGGTTTAAATTATTGATTACCCCACCACCCTATGTATGTAACCAATATATTTATATTATACAAGTTATACGTTTGCACATTTATATAAATTGCGGTGTAAAGTCAGCATTTTCTTAGACTTGTTTTATACTTTGAAGTTGAAGTTCTGTTATAATATATTTCTTACTAGTTAAATATTTGAACTAAATAGTTATCATAAAGTTAAGTAAGGAGATTAAGTATATATCATTAAATAAGTTAATATTCCAGTAATGAGTTGATTTTTTGTTGTGTCTGTACTGTAAAAAAATTGTTATTGATAGATACTATACAAATGAAAATTGAATATTGTATAGAATCATTGCATTTTTATATAAAATTAAATTCTTGGGTAAATTAGACAGTTTCTGTATAGGTGTATGAAATTTTTCTCATTTTATGTTCTTCAATTTGTCTATATGTTTTACAAAGCTGTTATTTCATAATAATTTGATTGATTGTATTAACTAATTGTAATACCTAATATTATCTTATATGTATATTACTATTATATATTAATTTTGTTTTATTCTTTTTATTACAGATAACTTTTTTTTTTCATCATAATTTATATTTTGATTAACAAATATTATATAATAATAAATTGAAATACTTGTAATGATAAAAATAATAGTATTACATTTTTTTTTTTTAATAAAACATTTATTTATGTTATATTTTGTAAAAATATGAGGTATCAGTTAAATTATTGTTCAATTGTTATAGTTATTGAATATTGAGGTACAACCTGAACCACAAGAACATTTATCTATTACAACATTCAAAGTAATTGCTAAAAAACAAGTAAGATCCATTAAGTAAAAAATAATAATGTAGTTATTGTTTATTATTATTTAAAAAAATAAATGTATAATGAAATTATAATTAAAAATTAGTAAATGGTCAATAGTCGTAAAATATTGTATAAATTATAAAAACAAATAGTTTATATATAGAAATAAATAAATGCTAAATGTTTGGAGTATTACTATTTTTGTATAGTATGACTAGTTTGAATTAATAAATCATCAAGTATATACAAAGTCAATAAAATCTCTAGTGTCATTTTTTTTGACTGTATATACTTGATGATGAATTTTTAATTCAAAACCAGTCATACTTTAGTATTTATATATTTCTATGTTTAAACTATTTGTTTATATATTAAAAATGTATAACAAACATTCCTTATTCATTTATATATTGGAAACCTCATTATTTATTACAAGTTAATTCCAATTATAATTAAAATTAAACAAACCTTTAACTTATAGTTTATTAAATTTCAAAGTTTGATAATGTTAAAATACTTTCATCCTAGCTAAATAAATTAACCATCTCCTATTTATACTGTTAGAGGAACACAACACCTGTAATCATAAATTAATTTTTTTATAAAAGCTGGCTTATAATTTTGTTTGATATGTCTAGAGTTATTTAAATATAATTTCATAAAATAATCTATACATATATGTCCAATAGATATAGAGAATAGTTTTTAGTTTCACAGCATGATTATTATTTTGACATTAATTTTCAATTTTGTTCAAAAGTGAAATTAATATTTTTAAGCATTTAGTATAACTAAATGCATATTTCTCTATTCAATAAATATTTTAAGACAATTTATATATTTTGATACTGGATTTTATTCTAATCTTTACACTTTAAAAAAAGGTGTGTCTGTAGGGAAAAGTAGAATTTTTTTATATACATTTTTTGTTGTAAATGGTTCATCATTTATAAGTAAATTAGTAAATAAAATCGCTTACTTTTATATACATACATATATGTTCACATAGTATAAATTAAAAAAATAATTAATTTTGAACCATTTTAATTAATTTCTAAAGTTAATTGTTTTTTTTTTTTTTGTTATTTCAGCTGGATAATATCACTATTGTTGAATTAGTGGACTCTCCTCCCTTAAATCAATCCTATGATGATTTGGTTAGTGTGTATAACTTAAATTTAGATCTAATTAATAATGCTTCTAATCTGTGATTTAGGAGAATGTTGGACTTCCTTCTTTTTCTTCAACTCCTATACCTGAAGACTCTGGTAAATTCCAATATAGCACTGTCAATGATAAAAATGTTGTAAGCACTATTATTTGACTTCATTTTTTAATCAAACAATTATTTGTAGAATTCATTTTTTTTTTATTATTATTATTATTGTAGTCTACTATTTTGTGTTCAAACCCTCTATCCAGAAGCCCATCTTATAATACTTCGCCTAATAAACGATTTTCTAACATTTTAACCATCAAAGATGTACAATATGCAAAATGGCCTATGGGTTCATCCAAAATGTTAACATTTTTAAACATATATCAAGACTATTTAGTTATGAGGGATCATATGATTGATGACGCTCTGGCAGACTTGGAAGCCAAAATTCAAAACTACTGCATGTCCATAACATCATATTGTCCTGTTGAAAACGAACTCTGTTTGGCCAAATATAGTGAGTAAACTCTCATTTTTTTTTATAAGTTTTTTTAGAAAAAAATAATGATTGACCTTATAAAACTGTTTAGATGATGGATTATGGTATAGGGCTATATGTATCAAAACTGCAACACTAAAGGATAGTAACTATACTATTTATTTCTTGGATTGGGGAATTGAATATTTCATTAATGCTGAGGAAATTTGTAAAATGTCCAAAGATTTTGTTTATCTTCCTGCAACAGCACATAAATGTTTCATAAAAGGTGGTATTAATTATTTTGGTATTATTTGATATTCACTTAATGCATTTAAGTGTTGTAATGTGTAATTCCCTAAAAATTTTAGGAAGTTCTGTTTTAAAATGGAACAATGACACCATTGAAGCTGTTTCTCAGTTAATGTTAACTCAGTTGAATTGTGAAATAGTTGAAAAAGTGACTACCGATACATACATAATTTCCTGCGACTCTATAAAGAATTTAATCGACTTAAAACTAGGAAGGTCTCATTGAAGTTGTCCTTTTCCCCACTTTGAAATAGTTTATCTAATAAGTGTTCTATTTGTAAATATATCAATAGAAAGATAATTTTTACTTTTATTTGTTTTTTTTTTTTTTTAGTCTGATTTATGTGTTGAGTAATTTTTTTAAATTTATATTGCGATAGCTTAACTAACTTAATTAGTTCATTTTCATTTTCTACAATTTCATTTGTATTTATTTTTGAATAATTTTTCTTAAATAAAAATAATTAATTATAATTATGTAAAAAATATAATTTAATTGTGTATAATAAAAACATTTTTTTAAACATAATAAATTTATTTTTTGAATTAATCAACGATTGTGTGGTGTCTTATAATCTTACAACAAGGTTGCCAATTCTTATTTACAGATAAGTTAGAAACCAGATATTTATATTCGGGGTTTGACAAAAAAAAGTGGGACATTAAATTTACAGAAACAAGAGAAAACGATTTTAATAATTTTTATCAGTTTTATTTAAAATTTGAAATATTGACTTAAAATGAATAGAATAATCGCTATTTTTAAGTAAACATCACAATACAATTAGTTTTTCTTTTTGAAAGAGTACTTGTCTTGTGATTTGGCACATTTAAGCAATTTTTTACAATACAATTATAAAATATTTTGCTATTATACTGAAAATTAATTTTTACGTGCGGTTCTGGTTTAACGTACTCAACACTTAGCTTATTTCTTGAATCAGTCCAAGCATTTTCACAAAATGAAAATACCCTCCCAGCGACGGAGTTTGAACATAAAATAGATGCAATAAACTGAAAAATCTTTAATAAGTTCGGTATATTCAAATGTTGATAAAGTTCATGTCAAGTTTCATAGTTTTTTTTTTCATTTGATATAGGAGTTTGCTTACGATCCTCAATAATTTTATTTAGAGTTTCTTTAATACTGCAAAACTCATTATAAAGTTCGTCCATATTTATGAGTTTGATGAATGATAATCGTTCGCAACACATACGAGAGATCCTTGTAGGAAAATGTATTTTCCAAAGCAAATATACGCATTATTGCCAAATTATTATCTTCCGAAAAATTAAAGTGTCGTCCAAGTATTTCAATGCATTTTTGTACCATGTAACCAAAACATTTTTAATGGACAACAAGAGTTCATCAATTGTGAAACTAGTAAGAGCATTTGAGTAAATAAATTCAAAGAATTTTTCGTTAATTCTTTGCTCTATTTTAAATCGTAAATCTGTTGAGGTATTGCAGATCTCACAAGGTCTTACAAACATTATGTTTTTCCAAAAATATGGTGACATTCTGAAATATTTTTAAAGCATTATCTAGAAATCCAAGAAAACATTCTGTTTTCTTTGAGTGGTCATCATTAAAATATTTCTCTAATGCCACTAGATAGTTATCTCCAAGAGTTATAAAAAATGCCTTCAACGCTGGAAATCCGCGTTGAATATTCATAATAACGGAATGCAACGACAGCCACCTCGTGTTGACGTGTCTTATAATATTTTGGTATTCTATTTCAGCATTAGTAAAGTGTTTTTTTTAAGTTATGGACTCTCTGAGTATGATAGGATAAGTACCCATACATTTTAAGTATCAAGTTTCCACGTTAAATTTGCACTTTTTATAGCATGACGGATGACATTGTGTGCCATGTGTACTGAACACCCTGCAGGCAAGATGTTGGCATTATCTTGAGAAAGTAGTTTGTAAACTACATTATTTTTGCCAAAATTAACATTGGCGTTGTCGGCTGAGTAAGCAGATACATTTGTGAAATCAGATCAAGGGTTTTAATTCTATTTTTTATATTTTTATAAATATCGATAGTTTTTCATCCGGGTCCTCAAAAAAATCAAGTAGGCAAGTGCTAATTCCATTATTTGGCAAGTAAAATCTGACAATAATTGAAAATAATTTTATATGTCTGTGATTTGACGCATCTGTCAAAATGCTATACAACGCCCCTGAACTTAGTTTTTCAACAATATATTTGATTGGTGCAAAATTATTAAACATGCCGTTTAATGTCATTCAAACCTCCATGCAATATCATAAACTATTTCATACACACTTTGCAAAAAGCTTTTACAAGTGCACATTTGTATCAACTCTTTTTAAAAAAGGATACGAATGCTCCCATTCTTGTCTGTAGAAACACATACGTTTACATATTTAGTTTTTTATTTTTTCACTGCTATTGTCAATTGTTTTTGAATCAGACATTACTAAAACTCAAACAAATTGTTTAAAAATAACAATAGAAAAGTTTGAATAATACACTAAACACTATCAATTTAATTTTCAAATTATATAATTTTAATGTTTATCGTCCATACTCATATTATTATTTAATAATTGTTATCTAGTATTAAATGTCTAAATGTCATGTGTTTGTATACGCATAGCTTTCAACCATAGCTGTTTGTACCACCTATAGTGGCATCATTTGAGGGGGGCAAGGTGGACTTTTGTCCCTGCCAGATTAAAAAGCATCCCAAAGAGCTGGTCGTTGTTGTTTAGCCATAAGCCGTTATTTGTGAAAAATCAAGCGTATTTTTATCATTTGAAAATACTAAGTATTAAATAATTATTTACTGCCGTAATATTTGGTATTTGCTTATTGGTATAAACTATAAATAGACACATGAGCATTTTACAAAAATATTAGAAAATATTGAATGAACTTAACCATCGTTACAGCAATTCTAGCGATGAAATCATTTTTACTTGCAATATTTTCTTATCTTCCAGCCCTGATTATTTTAATTTCAAAAGTCCCTATTTATTATCTTTCCTTAATCATTATAGTTATTTTAAAATTGATAATTTAATACTTACTTCAAACTGAATTTTTATCTGTAAAAAACTTAAATTAATTAACCTAATTAACTGAAAGTATTCTAATAAAAAACGAGACAATGGAATTCATGATCTTTTTTCTATTTCTACAATTTTAAATAAATTTCCTAAACTTTAGGACCTAAAGCTTTTATTGAAACTCTTAAAATCATATATGTTACGGGCAAAGTATACAATTGGGCATTTTATACATTGTCCGGACAGTATACGAGTATAAAATGCTCTTCGTATATTGGGCAATATAGATAACAGATGATATGATTTAATGAAATATGATAAATCAATGAATAATGACCATATTTTATACCTATTTTGGGGGTCACGGTACTAAAAAGGTTGAGAAACGATGGTGTACAAGAACAAAAATGTAATTCATGTTTATTATACATTACAAATGTTATTTATGAGTTCAATATGTATTCTCTAGAGCAGGGGTGGCAAACTTTTTTTGGTTCAACTGCCAAATTTTTCCTTTTTAGGTTTTGAAAATTGTTTACGTGCCTAAACAATATTATATTTTCTAAGAATAAAAATAAAATTACAGATTTATTATATTATTTTTATTAAATTTTAGTAGTGACCTTCTTTAATTAACAATTTTATTATTCCTATTCTTATTTTATTTATATTTCTTAATAACTCTTCCTATTTTCCATAATAAAAAAAAAAAAAAACACTTCAATACCTATTTAATATATATTTTTAATATTTAGTTATTTAATTAATATGCAACAGCTTAAGTGTCACTAATGGGTGGCTTCTTTAATCACTTTTTCCACGTCTGTTTTTTTTTATTTTGTTTTTATCTTACATTGCACGCATATGCTTATTGTACCAATAAATTGTATAGATTGCATATTATCAAATAAAATGAAAAAAAAAAAAAAATGTAGTCATTCTTAGTGAAACACAAGCAGCAATTGTTTCATTGGTCAAAACATTTCTTTCTTTTTTATGAGTATTTAAATTAAATTAAATTTGTTATGGCGAATAAGCTTTCACAAAATATTTTCTGAAGGGGCTACTATGGACAGAGTTAAATTACTATTGCTATTTAAAAATTACTAACAAGACACAGTAGGTACTAACCTATATTTTATTTACAGAATGTCCCAAAATGATTTGACGTTGGACGTAAATTCTAAATAAGCATAAAGTACCATTAAAATATAACAAATGTTTAAAATAATTTTTAAGTTTTTTAAAACATTTCGGGGGGGGGGAGGCCCACTAGGCACTCCCCCTCCCTATATACGCCACTGATTTGTATTGCCTATATTTTTTAACAAGCATTTATAAACGGATGTTACGGCAACACTACATTTGAAATCATGCGGAATCGTACATATATATGCGAAATTAGCGGAATCGTTTATGTTTATGAACAGTTATGAAAATCTACACGATTCCGCAATTTTTGCAGAATCGTTCTTCATCGTATAATTGTAGTTTACCTTAAGTCCCATGCCAATTGAGGGACGTATATAAGTCCTGCACTCATTGAATGGCTTACAAACGCATTCAGGTCGACTCACTTCTGAGTCGTGCAAATATGAATTTCTTATGTAAGTCGTTATTACCGGTATCGTCTTCTTTTTGGGTAATATTACTCCAAAAAGTGTTAATTGAAAAACAAATACTTATTAAATTACTGCAGTGGAAAGTATTCCGACGAATAAAATAAAATAAAATGAAATAAATTCATGGTATGTTTCTGTCACATCAAAATATACCTTATTAAATGAACACTAATAAAATCGTGTATTGACGTTACGTAATTAGAAATAACACTGAAATTACTTTAAATATGTTTAATTATTTAGTAGAAAGAAGACTGAATAACGTTGTGAATAATATGTCTTCCGAAATTAATTACTTTAGATTATATAATATTGTTACATAATATAACTAAAAAATATTAAATAGCACTACTAACTAAATATGTACCTATTCCGGTGCTATTACATTTGTTAATAGTAAATAATTTCTGTACTCTCGATTATTTGCTTTTGTTCAATAAAAATAAATATAAATATTTGTTATAAAAAAAAAAAAAAAAAACTTTTCATGAAAAATAGTTATTATAACTATTTTTGATATAACATAAAGACCATATAACAATAATAGTACATAACAAAAACAATTTGTTTAGGTATTTGATATTAAAATACGTGTTTTTGTCTATTGGCATAAATTTCCCAAACCAACTGCTTCAATAGGTACATGTTTCAATAATAAGCTTGATAAAATAATAAATAATTTTATAATATTAAAAATATATTTTAATAATCTTTAAGACCTTGAATCCGGTTTTATTCAAAACACGTTTTTTCTATCCCGTGCAAAAATTATTTAGTAAAGTTAAAATAAATAAAATAAATAAAATAATTAAATTATTTATAAAGTTATTTGCTATCTTTGATCCTAGACAGTAAATAATTATAACATTTCAAAAAGATTTATGGATTTAGGATTATGACATTATGGTTTCAAAATTGTATAAAAGTATTATGTTATTTAAATGTTTTATTGACAAATAAAAAGTTTATAGTATATGACAAAAAAGGTAAAAAATAAATAATATTTGATTGGATTTGAATTAATTATATGTTAGTACATAATAAAATGTATATGTATTTCAAATGAATACGTACGATCTATGTGCGTTATATGCTTACTAATTATGTGTAATTGCTAATTTCATCGTGAATCCATTGCGAAAAATGAGCCACATCAACATAGACTGCCGGAATACCTGCTAATCCACAGTTTATGCCCCAAGCTACAATTCCTACTTGAACTAAGTTACTTGAGTCATCTCCATATTGACACATTAATGGACTACCGCCATCACCCTAAAAAAATAATCACGTTTTACCTCTTAAGTTTTATTTGTTGTATAAAGAACACATTTAACATCTATGTATGGTATAATTGACATCCCCTTTAATAAATATCAAATAAAAACTAAATAAAGCAAATAATTTAAAAATCAATGTTGTATATTCTTTCGCTCAGAATTGAAAACTATAAAAAGGTTAATCTTACTTTACACGTGTCTTTTCCTTCTTCGCCACCTGCACATGTGAAACTATCATGAAGTATAAATTTGGGTCCAAGTCTAGTGGTTCTAAGAATTTCCATACATTTTTCCGATTCCATAATCTTAAGATCCACCTTTTTCAATATATTAACTTGGTATTGACCAATTTTTTCTTAAAAATAAAATAAATATGTTGATTATTTATACATAATATACTAACAAATAATAATAAAATTAATACATTTTTGTTATGATAATAGTGTAATATTTGTCTAGAATGACTGATCGACTTACTATTTAATTTTCCGGATTCAGTTTTCTTCACAATAGTATAATTATTGTAATACACTTTTGTTCCCCAACCACTTGAGAAACATTTTTTATCTGTAAAGACTTCATTTTTTTCTGGTAAACAGATTGTATTGACATGGTCATGTAGAATAAATGGTTCATCTGTAAAAATTAAAGATATGTCGTTGTGAAGTCCTCCCGCATAGTATTTGGGATGAGAAACGATCTTTTTCACGTGACGATCTTGGTGAGGATATATTTCTTTATCTGTTTGTAGATCCCATTCACCTGCCCGGATAATTAAAGTTGAGGGATCTTTGCTATAGACAAAAAAACCATAAACTTTATTTTTCGAGTAGGTATTTAATAATTTTACATCTCATGTCTTTGTTTTATTTTGTAAGATCGAGTATCTTACAAAGTTAAAATTTGAGTCTAATTTTTATTTAATTATTTGATTGTTATTTTATAATTATAAATAAAAAATTACTTTATTACACAATGTGTAGCTGTCAAAACTACATTTTTTTCAATTAACGATCCTCCACAATGATATACAAGATTTTTCTCGCCATTTTTTAACACCTCTTCCTTCAATATTGCTATCATAGATGGGAATTCACCATATTGAGATTCACCGTCAATTGCGTTTACAATTCTAAAACCCAATCCGTTTTTATTCCAAGAACCACACTTATGTTGATCTTTAGTTTTACTTCCAGTGGCTTCTGTTGTAATAAAATTTTCATTTTCAACCGATGAAACTATTTTGTGTGGTTTTTCAGTAGGTTTATTTTCAGAACTAATCAAATGATCCGTAGGCTTGTATGTAGGATTTTGCAAATTATATATATCTTCTTCTGTAGAAGTGATATGTATTTGATCTAGTGGTGAAGGTGAAGATATATGCTCAACCGGTCGGTTTTGATAATCGGGTTTATTTTTATTTTCATGTATATCATCTTCTGTAGACGTACTATGTATCTGATCTAGTGGAGAAGGTGATGATATATGCTCAGCCGGTCGGTTTTGATAACTTGGTTTATTTGTTTCTTTAGAAGTGAAAAATTGAATTGGTGTTGTAGGTGAATATTCATCTAATGGCTGTTCTGTATTAGGTTTATTTTCTTCTTGACCAGCACAAATACAAGATGTGTCTGTATTTGGGATATTTTGATTAATTACTTCAGTTGAAGACGATATCGTATCATTGCAACACACGTCCATATAACTGTCACATACTCCAAAAGGTGATCTGAAATTTAAAGTTTTAATTTTGATTTTGTAGCAATATATATATATATATATATAAGTAGGAATTTAAATTATAAATTCGGTTACATTTCATTTAATTTTTATTATTTTAATTTCTTGAGCACTAAAAATATACGTCATTTTAATGCATATTAAAAAAAAAGACAAAAAAGTCTTGATTTATCTAAGATTAAAACAAATAAGATACATAATTTAGAAGTATTGACATTTTTAAGTTTTCAGAATAGATTATTAATTTTCAGTGTATCTTTACGCCATATTTCAAGATTTTTGAGTACACAAATTTTTGGATATTTTGTTTATTTTTTAGAATTTATAACTTAAAAATCCTCAGTACCTACTAGTAGTTAATAATGATTTTTGAATGAAGTTAAATTTAATGAATACCGAATAACGTTAGCAAAATTACAGTCCGGTCTTATTAGGCGATTCTAAGTTAAGTCTAATTATCGAGTATTTTCTAGTATATATACAACATTTATATGAAAGTTACACTGAAATTTATAATTTACCGTTTTTATGGTTATAAAACATTGATTAAAGTGAGAATTTTTATTTAGCGTCACAACAGTTTTATTGATGAAACTTATAAATCTGTTTATTGATTATTGTATAAAAGCTGAAGAGGACAACAAAATTAATTTGTGTCACAATGAAGAAATAAAATTAATTCCGGTGTGTTGTAAATGTTTTTATTTTTTTTTTTAGTTTTTGTCAGTTCTTTTGCAATTATAAAGAAAACTAGTAGGAACTTCGTAAAATGTTCCCTTATTACCAACTAGACTTAATTAGACAAAATTTCCTTACAGAAACCACTCATAACTGTGATAATCAAAGCAACTCAAAAGAATTTCTGGTAAAAATTATAAGCTCAGACAAAAAAAAATAATTAACAAAATGTAGACATTATGGTTAGACCAATAACTTCCTCAGTTCACTCAGATTCTAAAAAACTAAGCATTTTTTTATTCTCTGTCTTTTCGTTTAAACAATTTTTTTTTTCTTTACTTAAACTTTAAAACAATAATACTATATATTTGAGTACTAGACAAATATATGATTTTTGGTAATGTTGAGTATTACTTATTTGATTATAAATTACAAAAACTATTTTTAGAGTTTTAGGAGTACCTTATATCAATGAGTTCCTCTCCGTCGGGAGCCGATTTATAAGTTTTGCACAAATTAAAAGGCGTACAAACACATTCAGATTCATTTTGTAAAATGGTTATAGAATCATCATTATATGTCATTGTGGTCGTGTCATCGGTGGATTCTTCAGATATTCTTGTCCCGGTCAAATTTCTTTCATGGACTAATTGTCCAACTACTGTAGTGGTAAACACTCCAATGGATAGAATCAAACTAACAATACTTATGGTATGATTCTACAAAATCACAAAATTTATAAGAATTGTATACAAACCAACGTATTTCTATGCTTAACTAAGGTTGCCATAAATTTATAAAGCGAAACCGGGACAACAAAAACACAATATTGAGTACTATACTTTTTATATAACTTTTAATATATTGAAAGGACCAGTGGCGTATACAAAGGGAGGATGTGGAGGTCAGATCCTCCTAGGCCTTTTTTTAATTTTTATAAAATAATTTTCTTATAGTGAGGGCGTTAGAAACGTAAAAAAATAAAAATAATGATAAAATAAAAATAACGATTTATTTGCAAATGATTCTCCACATACAAAAGTTATGTATACGCCACTGAAGAGGACCATTAATGGCCGGCAATAAATTATTTAAAAAAATGTTTGTAAAATAAAATATATTATATATAATATGTGTAAATTATTATATATTGTTAATCGATTACGATTAAAAATGTACTTTGAGATAAAATAGTCGAAATTAAAAATAAAAAAAATACTAAATTTCCTCTAAACATCTAAGCCAGGACATATGGACGTCCCGAAAACATTTTTCGGGACACCGAGACGCGAAGTCCAAAGTCCGGTGATAATCCTGGTTTTCCGGGACGTATGGCAACCCTAGCTGCTTAACTAGAAATCATTTCCTCACTTTTTTATAACATTATTTTTAATTGTTTAAATGCTTATTTAAATATATACTCAGTAAATATAATTATAAATATTTAAATTTTGAAAACTAATAGTACTTACCATGATTATGAAATTTTTTTAAAAAATAATAATTATAATAATAATATTGTTTTTAGAACTATTAACTTTTTGTGAATGATAATATTAGAGTAATAGTATAAATAATATTTCACATAATTATAAAATTAAACAATTTTTTCTGGAATAATTCAAGCTCTTAAACCTCTTGCTTCAATTCATATTTCAGTAGTAAACTCATTTCAAATGAGCCCATTATACAATATTTAAAATACTTCATAAAACCTGAATACCTTGAATCCGGTTTTTAATCATAACTATAGCTATAAATATTATTTATAATTTTCATTACTGACGTCAGTTGGTTAACATTCTTTAAAATTTAAAAACTAGTAAACATGTTTCATACATGACTCCATATCTATTAATATAAAGAATATTATTCTTTTATTAGTGAACATTGGTATAATTTTAATAAAATATAGTTACGATTTTAAAAGGAAATAAAATTGTTATTAATTATAAGAGCTCAAAACTAAATTGGTATTAAACGATTGTTTTAGATTGTTAACTACTATATATTGATTTTCGGTTAATTAAACTTAACTTAAATTTGATAAAAAAATTACTGTACTTCAATAAACATAATAGTAAGATTTTAAAGTTATTTTTCAAAATATTATTTTATTATATTGTTTATTCTAAAACAAAGTCAAAGATGTGTTATAATAATTGTTCTAAATACAAAATAAAAACTTTATATACAAATCTATACTATTTTATAAAGGTAAGTAAAAATTATATAGGATCAATAATAAAAATTACTCATACATTTGTACACTTTTTTCTTAAAGCATTATGTTTATTTAGTGCAGCAGGAATATAATTATATAAAAGAGTAAGGTACCAAAGTTGAGTGAAATACAAAAGTCGGTTGTTGAGAATTAGTAACGGGTGATTGATACATAGATGAATTGTTCTTATTTATTTGTAATCAATGAACTATTGATTTCGAAAAACGATTTTGAGCGTAAAAGGATCAGCCTCTCAGTCTCAATACAGTTTTTTTGTAACTATACTAATTATTATTATGCTTATGCTCCAAACTTTAATATATATTTTATTAAAGTTTAAAATATGTTTGATAAAATTTAATTTTGTACTTTTATAAAAATATGTAATAAAACATCAGCATTTACAATGGAATAATAAATAATGTCTCGGTATTATGACCAGGACACCAAAACGTTTTTATAACTTTATGAGCAGGGCTCGTGACTTGTAGCATTTGAATATTTGTTTTGAAAAGTCCTACCAACACCTAAGTAAGTTACAAATATGTTTCAGATAACAAGGAAATCAAATACAAATTTTTTTGTTGTATATTTTGAAGTTTTGACGCTAGTTTGCTATTTTGATATTTATTTGATGTTTATATCTTCATTTTAAAGACAAAAAATGAAAATTCCATATAAAATCTTTTTCTTTATTAATATTATATTTACGTTTATCAGTTTATACTTCGATAATTGTTATAAAAGAAAATTATATGACAAATGATGTGATCATTGGCATTAGGTACTCGGTAATTCCATTAATAAGGAGGTCTTTATTAATAATAAAATGATTTTATTGTTGATCTAGTACAGTGGTTCCCAACCGGTGTGCCGCGAGCGCTCTTTAAATGTGCCACGATAAATCTATAAATTGTTTTATAAGTATGTATTTACCAGCTTATTACTGATATTCGAGATGAAAACTGATCGAAATAATCGTAGATACATGTAATATTATTTATTGTAAGTATGCCCGTCACGACGCGTCGCAGCCGTCTCGATCGATCGATTGTATTAATATATTTCTCAATAAATAACCTTCTAATAGAGTAGACTGTAAATAGTATATATATATAAAATATGGTTCACATAATATATGGATTAGTGTGCCGCGAAAACTTTGTTGGAGATGAAGTGTGCCGCATTGTTAAAAAGGTTGAAAACCACTGATCTAGTATTATCAAATTATTTTCATTGTGATTGAAACACTATATTATATTAATCAGTCGTTTCCGATTTCTGAAGTTGTATACACATCGATGTTGTATACTCGTGCAAAGTGTTTTTACTCGCGAACTTAATTTTTAACTTAGTTTTTATTAATTTTTCACCAAATTTATCATTATTATACAATGCCTAAAGAAAAAATGTGCGTTACTAATCGTCTTCGACGTTATGTGCGTAAATTTGGTGCAAACTCATTCGCAATTAACGCGAGTGTATTATTGTGTATTATTGTGCAATTTTGTGATATTAAAATAAACCACGAAAAACGATTCAATATCACCCAACATTTAAAAACTGTAAAACATTTGAATACAGTTAAACGTGTAGAAATTGGATGTGATAAAAAAAATAACAGTTAGTCACCAACACAACAAAAAAAATCTTCAATTAATAAAGACTTGTGTTTCGCATCAATTTCGGCTAACATACCTTTGAATAAACTTTCGAATGAAAGTTTACGTAATTTTTTGAAAATGTATACTGGAAAAGATATCCCAACAGCAGCAACATTAAAACTTGGATACATTAATGAAGTTTTTAAAGAAACTATAAATAAAATTAAATTTGAGTTGTCAGGTAAAAATATATGGGTTAGTATTGACAAAACAATAGATATTGAAGGAAGATTTGTTGCTAACGTGATTGTCGGTACACTCGAGGTAGATTGCCCAGGTAAACAATAGTTGGTACATTCAGAGCTTTAAGAAAAAAAAAATTATTCGACAGTTAGTAAATTGTTTGACAAGTCTATAAAACTTATTAGTGTTCAACACGACAATGTTTTATTATTTATATCTGACGCTGCTCCCTACATGGTTAAAGCTGCTAATTCCTTAAAAGCATTGTATTCTAAAATGGTCCATATTACGTGCACTACTCATGGTCTTCATAGAGTAGCAGAGGAAGTAAGAGGGAAATTCAGTACTGTTGACAAAGTAATATTTAGTTTCAAAAAAAACATTTCGAAAAGCTCTAAATCGTGTTCAAATTTTTAAAAATGAAGCACCTAATTTAAATTTACCACCTGAACCAGTAATTACACGTTGGATTACGTGATTAATGCCTCAAATTATTAATGTGAAAATTTAGGAATTATTCGTAAGATAATTGAAAAACTAGACGCAGATGATGCTATCAGTATTAGAGGCCCAAAAATAAATATATATCTAAAAATGGCATCGAAAGAGATTTACATAAAATCAAATTTTTCAATTGACAGTTTCTCTTACCAAACTACAAGAAAAATAACTACCTCTAGCTGATGCTCTAGATATATTTGAAATTGTAGAAAGAGCATTTAAAACTCTTTAAGGGCCAAATGGAAAAGTTATTTTAACTAAATTTAAAAATAACGTCAACAAGAATATCGGTCTCAAAATTTCATATGTGTTATCGGGCCATCAAAGAAACACTGAACTTGAATTTGGACTACCTGAAGACTTATTAATGGATGATCTCGTTTACTTTAAGTACGCACCAATTACATCAGTAGATGTCGAGCGATCATTTTCAATGTACAAGACTTTACTCAACAATAATTGAAGATCATTCAAATTCGAAAACTTGAGTAAACATCTCATCATACAATGTAATTTTCAAGGTAAAAATATAAAAATCATATTTATTTAAATAGGCTAAATAAACTATAGGTTTTAATTTTTTTTATAGAATAATCAAAAATGAGGTATGATTTTCCACATGGATGATATTTGTAACGAGTGGTAAAGTATACAGCAAAAATTAAAAAGAGTTATAATAAGTAAAATTTTAAATTTTAAACTAAATCAATAAATTAATAATAATTATGTAGATCAAGGCCGTATCTAGAAATTTTTTTTGGGAGGGGTCCAAAACATGTATATTATAGTTTTATTGCATTAAAATTTTAACCTTTGATATTTGGTTAAAAATAAGTCAGAAAAAGATTTAATCTTCTTTTATTAAAATTAATATCATATTTTCATATAATATTATGATATAAAATTAAAAGCAATCAATGACTAATTAGAGCTTAAGTCATTTTTGACTAAAAATATTTATGTTGGTATTAAAAATAAATAAGTATTTTAAACATTCGTAAAATATTGAAGAAATTTCGGAGGGGGGAGAGCAGACACCCTGGACTTCCCCGTAGATACGGCCTTGATGTTGATAGTAATTTATTTTTGTCATATTTAATAAATTTTCTTATACTTTTTTGCATATTTTAATATTTTTAGCGCATATTTAAGCGCTTATATGAATGTTTTTAAGAGCATATCATTGCGCTTATAACAATTTTTTTTAGAGCTATAAGTCACGAACCTTGATTATGAGTATAACGTTAAACTATTCAAAAAACGATTGAAATCGATAACAGATAACATATCAGTAAACGTTAAACGATTATAACGGATAACATGTCTGTAAATGATAAACGATTGAAAACAGATAATGGATAACGAAATAGAAACGAAAAACGATTGAAATTAATATCGAATAACGTAACAGAAAACGATTAACGATTGAAACATAAGAGAAATTGTCATGGAAAAATATTTATCAGTAAAATACATTTGGAACATAGGTTTTTTTTTGTAAGACTGACTTAAATTACTAGGTAATCTAAATAAAATAAATATAAAAGGATGTTTAAAACAGCAATAAATTTTTCAACTAATAATATATAAATAAGCATTACCGATTATAATTTATAAATATGCTTTCTCAAGGCCGCCCGCAGTGGTGGCCGGGGAAGCCCCCCCCGCTAATTTAGATAATACCTAATTTTTATTGCATTTATTTGCATTTTATTTAGCAGTCTTGGAGGGCGATAAGGAGGACTGATAACTGATAAGTTGACACAAAATTGTTCGTCAGTTTTCAATATCACTAGGTATTCGGTATTTTGTTTATTTGTTTTAATCATGGTTGTAGTTTCATATCATATCAACTCTATGGTCCATATACAATTATTGTGGTTTTAATTGATAAAGTCATAGTGATGACCACGGCTTAAGATAGCCATGTTGATGACTGTTTTATCATAGAATAGATTAAATTTAATCTATTATGTGGTTTTATACTTTTTTGATAATATTGTTGTTATTTTTTTAAAAAGTCAACAATCCGACATTGTTGAAGATACAATTAAGCTTTTCTGCATGGAACCA